ACACACTTCCCTCTGTTGATTATCATGAGTAAAGGGGGGAAAAAATCTTCCCTCCACAACTTTTTGGTAGACTATTTTGTAGCTCTTTCTGTAGATTATCGGACAAATATCAACCCGCTAAATATCATATTAGCACAAACCATCAAGGCTTAGAACAGACCAGACGATTCACAAAGAGGCAATAAATGAAATGGGGTTTAAAGGTCCTACAGTTCAGAGCAAACGATTAGAGAGAGAGACAGAGAGAGAGAGAGAGAGAGAGAGAGGGGGGAGAGAGAGAGGGGGGGGGTACCGTCCACTCGACACAAACTAGGTCATTTCGGTTCTTTAGCAGTGAGAGAATACCGGAGGACCTGGAGAAAACCCACGAGGTTTGTCAGGCGCCCCTACCCCGTCAAGTACAACCGGGGAATCAAAACCACCCAGTGACATACCTTATGATACAGCGCGCACACGCTAACTAATCGGCCATCTCAGTTAAATGTTATTCTAAAGGACAGTTTCCATGTCACAGGGGGGCGGGTGGATGTTGGAATGGTTAGTGTGCGCGCGCTGTATCATAAAGTTTGTCATTGAGTCGAATGGCGTGGTTTCGAATCCCCGGTTGTACGTGACAAGGAGTAGGGTCGCCTGTCCAACCTCGTGGGTTTTCTCCGGGTCCTCCGGTTTCCTCCCACTGCTAAAGACCCCTACCCGCAAGGGAATTATGTAAATAAAATTTTAAAAAAACATATGTTAGTCCCGAAATGACCTAGTTTTTGTCGAGTGGACGTTAAACCCCATTTCTCTCTCTCTCACTCTCTCCATGTCACAGAAGCCTGTGTTAAACAAAACACAGGCATGACTACAAATGCTATGGAGACTTTTATATATCATCAAATTAACACTCGCTTTTTTAATGTGCAAATTTGTTACCTTTTTTCCAAATAACAAATGCCTGTAAAAAAAACAATAGTTTCGTAAACATATTTTGTTCTAGATCTGTCACGAACTAGTTTATATATTTACGTAAGGTTATTGAAAACATGCGCAACCCGTACATATCCCGGGGCCGAAAAATACCGGATTTGGGTCTCCGTAATTTGAATCATTCCGTTCCTGGAATAAATATGGGTTAAACGTCCCACTGTTCTGCCCCGTCTGGTCTAACGAAGACAGTGTCCGTTCATGTGCTGAAAATCGTTGGGAGCATGAATCAAAAGAAGTCATGGGAGATATCTACTCACTCTTTTGGTGCCAAAAACCGTGATTGCGTATCCAGATCATAAGGGTATATAAACATATTTCCGTAAATGAAATGAAATGTGGTTTTATGGCACGTCAGCACCAACCGAGCTATAGTGCGCCAAGCATATGGTGGTTATATCACAGAAAAAATACATAAATAAAAATAATATCACAGTAGTAACTAAAATTAAAAGTAAAATAAATCTTTTATGCACATAAATATTTAACATATTTCCGTAAAGATTAAGTACGAATACCGCTGCCTGGGCAAGGTTCCATAGCATTAGGCGCGCCACAGCTAAACGCTTAATGCCCCCGTCAGTCCGGGGTGGCGTCCTTACTGCGCTGCTGCGACCGTACGGCGACCAGAAAATCCACAAGGTCGCCGGCAAACGTGAACACAACACAATAAAATGTCCGAAAAAAATTACAAACTTGAAACAAGTCGCATTCTCATAGCTTTCTAGTTCAGATCGCAGAACCTTGGCATTTGTTTATGAACGTGACTCGGCGATCATTGGCGACCATGGAGACCACAGCACGATAGCTGGCGTTTCTACCACGCTTATGGCGATCTTGACACGCTCTAAAACCAATTTTCATCGCCGTAGCAGCGCAGTAAGGACGCCACCCCCGGTCTGACGGGGGTATTAGCTACTTGAATGCACACTAAACACGTTTATTAACATGCAATCCGTAATTGTTATTCCATAATGTTTAGTATGTTACTGTTCAATTACTTAATGCCGCTTAAAGGGCCACCCCCGATTATATTTTGAAGAATGAAACGACTTAATTCTGTGTTAAAAGCCCTTAAAACCCTCTACCTTAGGGTCGAGTAACTAACTCAATTTACGTGATACGTTTTCAAACAACTTAAACCCGTCAGTCTTCATCTGGAAATGGAGATCGGTACCCTAAGCCTTATTATACGGTTATTATATGTTACTGTTCAATTACAAAATGCCACTTAAAGGGCTAATCTCAGTTATATTTTGGAGAATAAAACTGCTGAATTTTGTGTTAAAGGCCCCTAAAATCCTTTACCTTAGGGCCGAGTAACTAACTCAATTTACGTGATACGTTTTCAAACAACTTAAACCCGTCAGTCTTCATCTGGAAATGGAGATCGGTACCCTAAGCTTTATTATACGGTGTCTGGATAAAACCAGAGTTTTATTTTATAAAAATTACGTGTAGGTGAAAGTTATCTTTCGTTATCAAGTACAGGACATGGGTCATGCACTGCATAGACCTCTAAAAGGAATGGTTATAGATTATCAGGACCCGGAATCTTAAAAGGGTTACGTGTCCGGATAAGGGGTTTTGACGTTCACGTCTAAACTACTGAATATTTTGAGCTAAAATTTTGAGACAAGGTAAATACTCCAGTCCTCTATATTTTTGCGCTTGTACATGGACCGTTAAAATCGGAGTTTCCCCTTTAAAGAACTACGTGAATACCTCAATATGACATTAGCCAAATGGGGAGACAGTCTAGATTGCGATATTGCCTCATCGGAAGCAGACGTTAAGCTCGAAGGAAGACAAAAACGAACGAACGACAGACAAGAGACGGGCTGCAGAAGCCGAAACTATCGAAGATAGGCTTGTTAATGCATGTCATATGTGCTCGAAAGAAATGTTACGGGGCAATTAGGGCCTCAACACCGTGAATTCTTACCAGGGTTCCTTTGACTTCAGGGGAGTCATGGTGGGACTAAGTGGGTAAGACGATAGCTCGCTAGCCTGGAGTTCGCGTGTTCGATCCCTACATTGTCCGAGAAAGTTCATCTGGATTTTCTGGCGTGTTTTCCCTTTGTCAGTGGTGCAGGGCGGAGGGCCGGACAAGGACAGCTGTCTAGTCGCTCGAATTGGACGAAAAACCGAGGCAGTTGGAATTCGATATAAGAGTAGGCCACAGTGTCGCTGCTCGAGCAAAATTTCCCTCATAGCACACTGTATGGCGTATGTCTTCATTATCCCAATAAGACGTTAAACCCCATTTCATTTCATTTCATTTCTATTAAATTCATAAAATTTCACGATTTTTACTTGATTGTAATCTTATAACCCAGGGCAACTAGCCAGTATTTTGTATTCACCTGATACTAATCTAAAATATATTTATTATGCGAAGTACGTTAATCTAAATGACGTCAGTTGTGACATAGACCTTCCCCATTGTTTACTTTCTAATCCCTGCGCCTTGAACTAAATTATGACTATGATCTACTAAGACATGAAGGAATGGGGTTAAACGTTCTACAGTTCTCCTCCGGTTGGGCTAATGAAGAAGGGCATACGCCATACAGAGTGCTATGAGGGAAATTGTGCCCGACAGCGGGGCTATGGCCTACTCTTGTATCGAATTCCAATTGTCAATGGATATTTTACGTGCACGGCAATGTGTACACGGACCGCGGGTTATCGTCCCACCCGAACTATACAGCTCTGCTTGTAAGACTCACCGGCCTGCACTACTGACAAGGAGAAACCACGCCGGAAAATCCCAATCAACTTTCTAGACCAACAGGCTAGCGAGCCACAGTGGCTCCTAATATCTGACCCAAGAACCAACTGTTGTTCTAATGTACCTACAGAGTTGATAAACGCGGAGATATTAAATAAAGCCAGAGAGGGGGGGGGGATTTAACGTCCACTCGACACAAGCTAGATCATTTTAACACATGGTTCAATTTTAATTTTCAACAATTCCACTTGTCAAGGGATCTTTTACGTGCACGCCAATGTGTACACGGGACCTCGGTTTATCGTCTCATCCGAACGACTAGACATCTGTCCTTGTCGGCCCCTGTATGGCGTATGCCCGTCTTCATTAGCCCAGCCGGAGCAGAACGGTAGAACATTAAACCCCATTTCATTTCATTTCATTTCGTTAGTTTTTCAAACGTTATTTCGATGAATGTTAGGTCTTTTATCTTGTATCTTTACAGATGTAATGTAACGAGCCCAGCGTAGTATCAGGTCAACCGTGACACTGGTATTGAAGTGTTGTATTATCATTCAGTTTATATCTACCATGTTTGGGTTGCTACTGTACATAGTACATATACTAAATAACTAAATATAATAGTGTACTAACGTATACTAAATAGTGACTAAGCAAGAATTTGACCAGTTCACTGCGCTTCATGCATTCATCTTTACACCCAAAAAGCTTGGGTTTACTCGATTTGTCTTCTTTATATTGAGTTCAGATTTTATACTAAAGTACTATTTGAAATATTATATATGTATATATTATACACTGAAATATGCAATTCCAGTGTTAACTCGCATTGTCTAAAAAAATCGAGATATTGAGATGTTATAGAAGTTTGAATGTATATATATATATATTTTTTTATTTGAAACATCCTCCATATTTTAAGACTGTAATCTGTATACTTAACTAAAAATTGAGACACGGGGTTTTTCAATACAGTAAAAATGATATACTTTGTACCTATTGTATCGATATAAATTTATGAGAGAGTGGGATAGAGAGAGAAAGGGGGAGAGAGATTAGAGTTGGGAGGGGAGCTTTTCTTAATTAATATGTTAGTTTACATATTCATTCCAATAATTCGCTTGTGCTAGTGGGTGTAAATCGGAGGAACTGGTTAGGCAATCGACCCTAACCCTTGTCACGAGCAAGATTGAAATCGAAGCGTACCAACCCTTGTCGTATTGTGTAGATTGAACTTGTAAATATTTACTTTAATAATGTCAATACAAAATAGGTCAACGGTATTGCTACAACACATAGACTGATATAGACATTCGGGTATATCAATAGAAGATATTTTCATACAGTTACGATTCATGAGCCCATAGAAGTTAGCGGGAACATCTTATAAGCCAAAGGGTGAACCATGGCCAGCAACAATCAGTAAGTCTTTTGAACTCATTATCAATATTCATTATTCTACAATTTAAAATTAAATTAACGACACGGATCACTATTATTTCATATTAAATTGAGGGTTCAAAGGTCAAACATTAGAATGCAACGGTCTATAAGTTTGGAGAAGTCACAGTGGCTAAGTGAGTAAGACGCTGGCTCGCTAGCCTGGAGTTCTCGGGTTCCTTCCAGGTGTTGGCCTAAGGACAGTTGTCTAGTCGTTCGGATGTGACGAAAAACCGATGTCCTGTGTACACTAAGCGTGCACGTAAAAGATCCCTTGGTAGTTGGAATTCGTTATTTAAGATTAGGCCGGAGCGACGGTGTCCAGGCAAAATTCCCTCCGTAGCACAAAGTATGGCGTATGGCTGTCTTCCTTAGGCCAGTCAGGACAGAACAGTAGGACGTTAAACTCCATTTCGTTGTGGTTTTATTTTCACTGATAGTCCATGTGTTCATTTTCATACGGACCAGACAGTTCAAGAAATTATAAATAAATATGATGATATATATTGGATGGAGCTTCCTCAGATTTGTCCAAATGGTATAATATAACGTGACTCCTTTCCTGAATCACTTGGATATATTTCAATGACATTTGATAGGCATGTTACTTATGGATGCATTATCTTTGAGCTCAATCTGCCTATTTTTTTATGGGATACAATCACTAGTCTTATTCTAAAAGCACGACGTTTCGACAAGTATCCTTATCGTTATTGTTATAAGAACCGCGTTCTGTTAACGTGTTCCCGATCGCTAAATGCCACTCAAAGATTACCAATCTGCCTAGTTTGGTTTCAAATGATATGTAAATTATTATTTAGAGACTTATTCACATGACAAGCCTATAATCAACTCCCTGAACCATCGAATGGCCGAGATTCACATGGATCACAACACCCGCGAGATTTAAAACTTTAACGATAAAATGGATAAGCGAGACTTAGACTCGAATGTCAAGTTCAGTTGCTATGATAAGAAACAATCTGCGTTAGATCTTGCCAAATCTTCCAACACTCATAACTTCGGTTACAATACAATTGTCAATATATTTATTTTTCATAATCTATTTTTTAACTATTATTATAATAGGAACGGACAGTTCTGTATCTAAATCTTTAAATGTGCTATTTAGATTTGTTCAAATATAGTGTTTAAGACCCTTATTGTCGGACATTGGGTACCTAATTACACAATTTCGACTTCTACAAGCTTGGGGGGGGGGGGGCGTGAATGGTTAGAGCGTGCCCGCTGTATCATAAGGTCTGTCACTGAGTCAACTGGCGTGGTTTCGATTCCCCAGTTGTTCATGATAAGGAGTAAGGTCGCCTGTCCAACCTCGTGGCTTTTCTTCGGGTCCTCCGGTTTCCTATCACTGCTAAAAATCCCTATGCGCAAGCGAATTATTGAAATAAAATTGAACCATTTAATCCCGAAATAACCTAGTTTGTGTCGAGTGGACCTTAAACCCACCCCCTCCCTCTCTCTCTCTCTCTTTCTCTCTCTCTCTGAAGGGTAGAGACCCCCCTTTCTCTCTCTCTCTCTCTCTCTCTCTCTCTCAGCTCACAGTTTACCACATTCTCTTTATTCATAATGTATTGTATTTTCAGACAACCGTCAATAGTTATAGAACAAATAGGGCGTGGACCTTATGCCCCTAGTCTTACACCATTCGCTATTAAACTGGAGACCTATATGAGAATGGCCAAACTTCAATACACGGTAGGCATATTCCTACTAACATAGTAACTTGTCTGTCCCTAGATAACCTATCTATCCGTGGGGGATTACGTGACGAGAAAGAGAGAGATGGGGAGATGGGGAGAGAGGGAGAGAGAGACTTTCCTCATAGCACGCTAGTATTTACCGCCAGTCCAGTTGCTGCAGAAATGTTGGTGTCAGCCATTATCACATATATGATAGAACTGGTTAAACACATTCCAAATATATTTCTAACACACCGATTATTGCTACGATATATACGTAACGAAGAATTGAAGAAAAGAAAGTGACTCGATAAATGGAAAACAAGACTTATGCTTCTATACAACTGATTAAAGTAACGAGCGATAACAGATACACTTTTTATGTGAGAATGGCTGACACCAATATTGTCCTTGTAACCCTGAGTCCAAAGGCCAACAACAGCGTCACCTGATCAGTCACGTGGTTTATATACAAAAGTGCAACATTGAAGTCAGCACGGGGCCTAATCGGTAGTCACCACGACCATAGTAACTATACTCAACATAGTCTCTCGTACATTGAACTTCAAATTTTCCGTACATTTTGGGCAAGTTTTTCGCGAATTAACTCATTTTTTTAAATATATAATTCGAGTATTTCGTCAATGATGAGGTAGTATGTAAGAAGCTAAATCTGTATTCTTTGACCTCTAGAAATGGACACAAATGAGTCGCAACGCATACAATAATGTAATATGAATGTATATAAATTGACTTACATCAATCGTTTCTGTTTTACTGTAATTTCTAATCAGTAATTTCTAAGCTTGGGGGGGGGGGGGGCGTGAATGGTTAGAGCGTGCCCGCTGTATCATAAGGTCTGTCATTGAGTCAACTGGCGTGGTTTCGATTCCCCGGTTGTACATGACAAGGAGTAGGGTCGCCTGTCCAACCTCGTGGGTTTTCTTCGGGTCCCCCAGTTTCCTGCCATTGCTAAAGACCCTTACGCCCAGGCGAATTATGAAAGTGAAAAAATGAACAATATGTTGGTTTCGAAATAACCTAGTTTGTGTCGAATGGCCGTTAAACCCAATTATCTATCTGTTTCTCTTTTGCACCGAATAAAGGCATTGGGGAGAGGTGAAAGGGGTACCAGTTTATGGGGATTTGCTTTGCAGTGGTGCAGGACGCAGGAAGCAGGAAGCAGGACCTGTAAGAAAAGGCTGCTTAATTGTTTGGATAGGACAATAGTTTTGTTCTCATATAATTATCATGTTTCCTTTAAGAATTCGCATCGTAGAAAGAGGTCAAAAAAGGGCAAAGTTCCATTCATAGAATTTGACGGACAAGAAGTCAACGATTCTAGTTTAATTATAGAATTCCTGAATGAAAAACTCAACATAGATCTGAACAGTCATCTGACTCCTTCAGAACGAGGCATAGCTAGGGCCTTTCAGAAAATGGCGGAGGAAAATCTTTACTGGTAAGTTGGGTTAGATCTATTTGTTAAGACCATCTCTAGAATTCGTCATGGTTGCTGAAATGTAAATAAGGTTGGGGCACGTGATTGTTGGCGAGAAATTGGGTTTAACGTCCACTCGACACAAACTTGGTCATTTCGGGACTAACATCTGGTTCAATTTTAGTTCAATAATTCGCTTGTGCGCAGGGGTCTTTAGCAGTGGGAGGAAACCAGAGGACCAGGAGAAAACCCAAGAGGTTGGACAGGCGACTCTACTCCTTGCTGCGTACCATCGGGGAATCGAAACCACACCAGATGACTCAATGATTGACCTTATGATATAGCGCACACACGCTAAACATTCGGTCATCCGACCCCCGGGGAAAAAACCCAGAATAAGGAATCGAAATAGAATCTGCGTTTTTTTTATCAGATTGCTTAGCCACAGGATGCTAACATTTTATTATTTAATTTTCCTCCCAGGTGCTTAGTTTTACACAGATGGATATACGACAATAGAGACTGGATAATGAAACTAGTAGGTGTACCAAAGATTATGGCCTGGATACCGGTTAGACTGGTGAAAAAACAAGCCGAGGGACAAGGTATCGGTCGCCATAGTTACGAAGAAATGGTACGAATTGAAGAAGGCGATTTGAGGGCCATGTCGGAATTCTTAGGTGAGAATTTAATTCCAACGCTTACTACTGCTAGATTACCCTTACACCACAACTCATTTACTTGGGAAGTCCACATACCTATTAATTTTTTGTTATACTTGGTATCCTAGAGTAAAATAATCCCAATAAGCATATCACTATTCAAAGTACGACCCAATCTGATTAAAACACAGATCAGAATTTCAGAATTTCGTTTTACTTGCCTTTACCACACTAAAAGTTGTTATATAACCCTCGTTATGGTTGAAACGATGGATTAGCCAATGAAACGGTCTGTTACGGCGACTTCTTGATGTTCTCTGCGCGAAACTATGGGTAAACCCCTAGAAACGTCAACGCTGATTGATTAATCAATGTCTGACGTCATAAGGTCAAAAGCCGATCGTTTGACCCCTGACGTGAACTCCCACTATAACTTGTCAGATCTTCATGTAATGTAGGCCATCGAAAGTATAAAAAAAAAACGAAACGAATGATAGATCTGTATTTTAATCCGATTGAGCACGACTTTACTTTCTGAACCAGGATCCTGTAGTGGTGTCATCGCAGCAAAAATTGTCACGTCGTATCAAACACTGGACAACCGATGCGCAAAGAACATGCATAATATATGGAATGAAATGGACTTTAACGTCCTACTGTTCTGCTCCGACTGGCTTAATGAAGACGGACATACGCCATACAGTGTGCTATCAGGCAAATTTTGCCTGGGCAGTGGTGCTACGGCCTACTCTGTCGAATTCCAACTGGCCAAAGGTTTGTTCTCTTTGTCCGCTACAATGAAACAAATGTTTTTCGGCCAGTCAGTAGGAGGAGAATTTTATTTTTCCACGTAAACGCAAGGATCGGCCTACAAACTCTGCCTATGCCATTGTTCATCGATGCTATATTCTTAATACTAAAAGCATGCGTTTCAGAATTTTCATAAATACTCTTGTCCAGATACATGAAAGAGGTATTATTCAAGATCTCAATCTACCAATTGAAGGCCTTTCTTTAGGTCTTATAGGGGATGGGGGGGGGGGGGGGTCTCTACCTCAATACCATCCACAGTCTTCGACATTGCAAATAATTTAAATCAACATTGATGGTGTTATCTTACTATGAAGGATGGGTTTCTAAAATCCAATATTTAAGACAAAAGGAAAACCATCTATTTTTTAACTGTTATAACGGTCATCCAAATCTTGTATGATGTAGCCTATCATTAATAAAGCCGTCTGATTGTAGCCGCACGAAAAGTTTGATTTATTCGTCTTGTGTGTTTCAGATACCAAGCCATTTTTCTTTGGTGATAAACCATGTGAGACAGACTGTGCTTTATTTGGACAGTTAAGTCAGCTGAGATGGCAGTTACCTAATACGAAGGGCGAATATTTTGTGAATGGTATGTATTATAGTTTGAAGTGTGGTTTCGTAGTCGCCATATTGTAGTTTTTTATAAATTAAAACAATGTCTACTCGGATTTAGGCCATTATTTTTGTATTTTCTTTTTTTTTCATTGGAAGAGAAAATGAATTTTTTGCGCCCTGATTAAGTGTTCCTATTTGTTTTTGTGAATATGCCCAGTGAAGTAACCTTTTCGCCACTCGTTCTTCAAATTACCAATCTGATCAAAACACAGATCCGATTTGGTTTCGTTTTTTTTTTTATAGTTCAAAATTTAGTTTTACTTGTCTTTACTACAGTAGGGTCTGAAAGACTTGTTATATAACCCGTGTCCTGGTTGAAGTGAGGGATTAGCAAATGAAATGGTCTGTTACGTTGAGTTCTTGACGTGCGATGCACGGAACTGTGGGTAAACCTGCACTAGAAATGTCAACGCTGATTGATTAATCAATGTCTGACGTCATCGGTTCATGATCTGTATTTTAATCAGATTGTCAAATTCAATTTTTTTTTTTTTGCGAAACGTCACACGTGGGCCACAGTTAGTGGAAACTCTAAATACCTTTGTCAGTGGTTTATCTCGGCTTTTCAACATTGCATTTCATATCTCCACGTGACAATTCACCTAGCCAAGACGATGTGGATAATGGAATGCTGTATTTCGGATCCCGGACCTCTTAAATTTAGTCAAGGCTGTAGATCAGAATCTTATCCTTTATAACATCTTCCACAGTAGAGATACAAAATCTTCAATTAAATAATAAGATGGCTGACAATTCGTTCTGCATCTGTCGGTGAAGGAGATACAAAACATACATTATGCAAGAGCTAAATCTGCCTATTGCAGGTCTTTCTTTAGGCCTGAAGTGTTATCTAAATTATTAATTAGACATTAATTAACTTATCCAGACCATAATCAACTCTAGATGGCATCGCTAGCCTCCGATGTTCATTGGATTAGGTTCTGATTTGCTGTTCGACTTCCATTTATAATTAAATCAAAAATTGGACAATCGAGACTATGTTTTTTACCCTACGGACTTTAGTAATAATGTTCTAGGCTACCTCCAATATTCAATCGCTAAAATCTCGGTTCAGAGTGGATCAATTTGACTGAAATTTTCAGCAAATTCCCTTTACATTATCTAGTTTTTAACATTTATAGTGAGAACTGCAAGCTCTTTATCTAATCTCCCATAATGTATCTTTAATAAGATGGCTGGCAATTCATTCTACATCTGTTGAAGAAGATACGCAATCTTCAGTTAATTAAAGAAACATTATGTAAGATTTAGATAAAGAGCATTGATACCATATAGGAGAAAATTGGTACACTTTCCAACCACCTTGACCTCCTGGGCTCCCGGTCTATTAATTAAAGATACATTATGTAAGATTTAGATAACGGGCTGACCATTCGTGCTATAATAGTTCGAAAATAAATAATATAAAATGAATAATTTGAAAATTTCATTCAAATTACTCTATTGCGAGCGAAGATATTAGCCCTTGGAGGTTTGACAAGACGTGTGGCTGAACCGTTATAATCTACTTAATGTCGGAGATATCCGACGTCACCGACAGTTGATTATGGTCTGGATAAGTTAATTAATGTCTAATTAATAATTTAGATAACAGTTCAGGCCTAAAGAAAGACCTGCAATAGCTCTTGCATAATGTATGTTTAATTTATAAGATGGCTGACAATTCATTCTGCATCTGCTGGGGAATTATATTACACTATAGGGGTCTGTATGGCTTCTTTTGTATTTTTTTTTTCTTTTCAGAAAAGTACACCAATCTTCGAGATTATTGTGATCGAATGAAAACGACATTTTGGCCTGATTGGGATGATTGCATTACACACGGAGGAAAAGTCAAGAAACCAAAATCATAACTACCAGGAATGGTGCCATTAAAATCATGTTTGGTGGGGTCAATGTATATTGTGTACTATGGTCTTTTTGTAATTTGGGGAATACAAACTAAAGGGGCATTATGTTAGATTAGATAGAGAGCTGATAGTTAGAAATTAGATAATGTAAAAAAAGGGAATATGCTGAAAATTTCAGTCAAATTACACCACACTGAGAAATCTTCATTTCAATAAGACTGTAGCCCCGATTGTCATTTTTATCGATGTTAGGATAATAAACAAAGTTTCGATTATCCATTTTTACGATTAATCGTCAACCGCCGTTGAACCACAGATCGGATTCAAATTTGTTGAAAATCGGATCCATTAGATGGCATTGAGAGTTGATTATGGTCTTTTCTCGTTAATAAATTATGTCTAATTAATAGTTTATATAACATTTCAGGCAGATATAGCTTTTGTATAAAACGTGTTTAATTATTTTGTGTGTTGATTTAACACTAGTAAATAAAATTCGTACGAAATTGGAGTCTCTTGTTATATTCTGGTGTTACTTTCCGACACTTCACGAGCGTTGGGTTGGTGGGAGCGTGGTAGGCAAGTGGTCAAAGAACTAGATTCTCGACTAGAGTGTTCTGAGTCCCGATGTGGGCCCAATGCGTTTAACAATGAAAATGTGCCTCGTCGTTCGGATAGGACGAAAACCAAACCTAAAAAATGATATGTGGTTTAAAGTTCTACTGTTCGGTTTATGAAAATGGATAAACGCCTACAGTGTGCTTTGAAATAAATTTTGCCCGGACAGAGAGAGAGAGGTGGGGTTTAACGTCCACTCGACACAAACTAGGCCATTTCGGGACTAACACGTGGTTTAATTTTATTTCAATAATTCGCATGCGCGTAGGGGTCTTTAGCAGGAAACAGGAGAATCCGCAAAAAAACCACGAGGTTGGACAGGCGACCCTACTCCTTGTCACGTACAACCGGGGAATCGAAACCACGCCAGTTGACTTAGTGACAGACCTGATGATACAGCGCGCATTTTGCCCGGACAACGGCGCTACGGCCCACTCTTCTTATATCGAATTCTAAATGCCATGGGATCTTTTACGTGCTCGCCAATGTGTACATAGGCCCTCGGTTTTTCGTCCCACTCGAACGACTATACGTTGTCCCTTGCCAGAAGGAACCACGCCGGAAAAATCCCGGTGAACTTTCTCGGCAAACGCATCGATCGAACACGGCCCCCAGACTTCACCAAAAATGACGTCATGCCGTATCCACGTCATGAAAGCTTCTTGGTTGTTACCAACAGTTTAACAAAGAGGGTTGCTAAAACGATAGCGGTACATGTATTCTCTGAAAGAACTCAAGGCTATTCATCGTTCTTACGATCCAAATAACTATTTAGTAATTGCTGGTGGAGTCCTGGTCGCTTCAGTCCTAACCTATTGCTTGTATGCAAAATTAACCGGAAAAAGGTAAGTGAAACGCCATTTATTTTCTCATTACCAGGCCTACAGTTTACAGTTAAGGCCTATTCAGAGAAATAATCAATCCTCTTTTAGACGTCGCAAGATTTCGCTAAATTTTCATTTTGAAATGAATAGGGCCTATAAAAAATCCCTGAATTTATAAATATTTAGATGGTACCAGTGGGCTACTATGATGTTCTGTCGCAGAGTAAAGTCCATTTTGAATTCAATGCTTTGTAAATTATGGAAGATTAGATAAAGAGCTGGCAGTTCAACTATAATAGTTCAAAACTAGATAATGTAAAGGGGGTTTGCTGAAAATTTTGACAGTTCTCGCTATATATACAAAATCTAGATAATGTAAAGGGGTTTGCTGAAAATTTCAGTCAAATTGATCCACTCTGAACCAAGAATTTAGCGATTAAATTTTGGGCATAGCCTCGATCATCATTAGGCCTACTAAAGTCGATACGATAAAAAACATAGTCTCGATTATCCATTTCTTGATTTAATCATGAATGAGCATTGGGCAGCAGATTGGATCCTAATCCAGTAAATATCACAGACTAGCCATGACATCTAGAGTTGATTATGGTCTTGATACGTTAATTAATGTCTAAATAATAACTTAGATAACATTTTAGGCCTAAAGAAAGGCCTGCAATAGGCAGATTTAGCTCTTGCATAATGCATGTTATGTTTAAAGTCTTAAGTACCCATATGGGCCATATTATAGGCCTAGTTCCTGCTTTATATAGTAGCCTACCGGTTAGTTCGTGTGTTGTTTATTTTGTTTTTTGTTAAATAATACTCGAATAATGAGTCTAAAATATCTCATCAGTATTCGATGTGACCACGACAAATTTGAATAAATCAAATGCAGAAATTATATTTTTATTTTGCTTTTCATGACAATTCATTCTGCATCCGTTGGTGAATTATTTTATACTATGTAACTATATGGATCTGTATGGTTTGTTATGCTTTCTTTTCAGAAAAGATCATCGATCGTCGAGATAATTATGATCAAATGAAGGCGACATTTTGGCCAGATTCGGATGATTGTATTGCACATGGAAGAAAAATCAAGAAACCAAAATCATAACAGCCAGGAATGGTGCCATTAGAATCCTGTTTGGTGCGGCCAATGTATATTGTGGTCTTTTTGTAATTTTGTGTGTGCAGCTTAATTATTTTGTATGATGATCTAATCCCAGTAAATAAAACTCGGAAGAAATTGGCGTCTCTTGTCAAATTTTAGTGTTGCTTTCCAACACTTCAAAGGGGTTGTGGGGGGGTGGGGGGTGGGGGGGAGCGTTGTATTCAACTGGTCAAGGAACTTGATTCTCGACTGATGTGAGCCCAGAAGAGCCTACGGGGTTTGTAAGTGGTGGCACCCGCAGGGTCTAATAATGAAAGTGTGCTTAGTCGGTCGGATAGGACGAAAACCGGACGTGATAAATGAAATGAAATGGAGTTTAACGTCTTACTGTTCTGCTCTGACTGTGCTTATGGAGACGGACATACGCCATACATCATACAGTGTGCTTTGGGGGAAATTTTGCCCGGACTGCGGCGCTACGACCTACTCTTATATCGAATTCCACGCCGGAAAATCGATCCCTTTGAACTTACTCGGCAAACGTAGGGATCGAACACGAGACCTCCAGGTTAGCGAGTCAACGTCTTACTCACTGAGCCACCGTGGCTCCCAGACGTGATGCAACATGGTTTGTTAATACATTTTACGCTTGGTCAATGTTGTAAAAGGGGATAGGTCCAGCGGACAAAGAGAGAGAGAGAGAGAGGAGAGATGGGGTTTAAACGTCCACTCGATTCGATACAAACTAAGTAATTTCGGGACTAACACATGGTTCAATTTAATTTCAATAATTCGCTTGCGCGTAGGGGATCTTTAGTAGTGGGGGGAAACCGGAAGACCCGGAGAAAACATACGAGGTTGGACAGGCGACCGACCCATCTCTTTGCTCTTTGTCACGTACATCCGGGGAATCGAAACCCACACTGTTAACTGAATGACAGACCTTATGATAGGCCTACAGCGCGCACGTGCTAACCAACACTGATCAGCAGTGAATTTTCGCTAGGCCTCTACTCGTAATTTCTCTGTGAAACAGATTGGTGCTAACCATTCGGCCATCCAAACCCCCAGGTTGAGTGGACTAATATTGACTTCATATAGGCCTAAACAAATTAGAATATGCATGATCGGGTAACTTACTAGGTCTATGCGTAGCCAGCTCTGACATAGTTTCCTTTCAAGCCGACTTCATCAATGCTGTTGTTCAGATTGTTGCAGATCTATCTAGAGCCTATAGCTCGAATGTCAAGTGTTTCGTCCCGTGTAATAAATTTACAGGTTTCATCTAGGTCATAGTCAAACTGGAAATAAATTACCTGTTGCCAAGCACCTAAATGAATTGGAGACGGCATGACGTCATTTTTTTACCGGACTGATACCCGAGTTCGATCTCGGTCTTGCCCCAGGAAGTTCTCCAGGATAACCGGGGAGGTTTCGCCATGTCAGTGGTCAGTGGTGCAGGATGAAAGGTCTGGCAAGGACAGTGTCTGTCGTTCGCATATGAAGAAAACTCGAAGCCCTGTGTACACGTTGGCGTACACGTAATGAAACCCTTGGCTTGATATGGTTGGAGTTCGATAGAGTTGACCGTAGCGCCGCTGTGCGGACAAAATTTGCCCGTCTTCATTAGCCCAGTCGGTGCAGAAATATCGGGCGTTAATCCTGATTTCATTTCTATCACGTTCAGTACAACCGATTGCCGACATCTGAGCATATCGTCAAAGGGATTAGGAAGACGCTGTTTGGGTTATTAACCAATATGGCGTCGATGACTTCGCCAAAATGACGTCATGTCGCATCCACGTCATGAAAGCTTGTTGGTTGTTACCAACAGTTTAACAATCAGGGTTGCTAAAACGATAGCGGTACATGTATTCTCTGGAAGAACTCAAGGCTATTCTTCGTTCTTACGATCCCAAAAAATATTTAGTAATTGCTGGTGGAGTCCTGGTCGCTTCAGCCCTAACCTATTGCTTGTATGCAAAAATAACTGGAAAAAGGTAAGCGAAACATTATATTTTCTCATTACTTCACTGTTTACAGAATACAGTTAAGGCATATTCAGAGAAATAATCAATTCTCTTTTTTTAGACAACGCGAGATTTCGCTAAATTTCGCTAAATTTTCATTTTGAAGTGAACAGGACCTAAAAACATCTCTGAATGTATAAATATTTAGATGGTACCTGCTAGCCTATAGGCCTAGCGGTAGGTCTACTTTGTAGGGCAAATTTCGACCATGCCAGGGGCGGATCCAGGAATTTTTGCAAGGGGGGGGGGGGGTCATTTTCCCGAGACAATGTATCTCCCCCCCCCCCACTCCCGCATGGTCTCTATCGTCATTTTGGCGTATATACATAGATCTACACATTGAGCTTTTTAAACAGAAATTCAACACCTCGTTTGACGTCAATTTTTATTATGAATTAATACAATGACATTGATTGTGATTCAATTTCATGGATGCAAAGCAATTAATTGTGATATCACATAATATAATGTCTATAGGCTATCATTATCTCGTACTTTGAGTGCCCATCCTGTCCCAAATCTGACGATAAAGGATAAAGCACACGGCCGAGAAACATTTCTCATAAAAAGTGTTGATTTACAAAAAAAAAATATGTAGCATGCATGATCATCCGTTATGTTCTATCGCAAGGTAAAGTCTGTTTTGTATTCATCAATGCTTTGTAAATCGTTACCTATAGGCCTATATAGAACCGGTTAGTTTTGTTTGTAAAAAATGAAATGAAATGGGGTTTAACGTCCTACTGTTTTGCTCCGAACTGGGCTAATGAAGACGGGCATACGCCATACAGTGTGCTATGAGGGAAATTTTGCCCGGACAGCGGCACTACGGCCTACTCTTATATCGAATTCCAACTGTCAAGGGATCTTTTACGTGCACGCCAATGTGTACACGGGACCTCGGTTTTTCGTCTCATCCGAATGACTAGACAGCTGTCCTTGTCAGGCCCTCCGTCCTGCATCCCTAGTTTTGTTTGTAGGGGAAAGGTCTAATAGTAATACTTGAATAATCATAATGGGTCTAAAATATCTGAATAATAAAATCAGTTATCAGTATTCGATGTGACCTCTGCAAATCTGAATAAATTAAATACAAGTAATCAAATATACCGTATTTTATGTTGCTTTTCAGAACAAAAAAAGTTAACCCTAAGGATGTTGTGATTGTTCATGGTTGTGGGAGAGGACCCTACTGTCCAAGTCTATCTCCCTTTTGTCTTAAAGTTGAAACTTACTTGCGAATGAATAAAATACCATATCAGGTAATTTCCAGGTAATTCGACAAAAACTAGGTCATTTCGAGATATATTGCTAATATATCTATGGGGGGAAACCGGAGGACCCGGAGAATACCCACAGCTAAGAGGTTGCACAGGCTACCCTACTAGGCTACTTATCACGTACGAGCGGGGATATTTTAGGTTGACCGGACAGCGTAGCAGAGTAGGATGGGCTATTTCAAGTAGCTGACGCCACAAAATCCACAAGTCCACAATTAGTACAATACAATTATTTTTCATTATAACGGAGCAACTTTTCTTTTTAAATCGAATTCTCTATAGTCTTTATCACGCAAATAAGGTTTAATTTGTAATTAAGTTAGTTTGTTCTCATTTGACCCGTTCGTCGAGAAAGTTCATAGGGATTTACCGGCGTGGTTTCTCCTGGTCTGTAGTGCAGGACAGAGGGTCTGGCAAGCGACAACGTATACCGTAGTCGCTCAGATGGCCGAGAAAACTCATCGGGATTTTCCTGCGTGGTTGCCCCTTGTCAGTGGTACAGGACGGAGGGCCTGACAAGAACAGTTGTCTAGTCCTTCAGATGGCGCGAAACAAACGATGGCAGTTGGAATTCGATATAAGAGTTAAACCCCATTTCACTCACTTCATTTCTCATTTCATTATCATGTTTCCTTTTAGAATTCACATGGTCGAAGAAAGTCCAAAAAGGGCAAAGTTCCATTCATAGAATTTAACGGACAGGAAGTCAACGATTCTAGTTTAATTATAGAATTCCTCAATGAAAAACTCAACACAGATCTAAACAGTCATCTGAGTAGTTCCGATCAAGGCATAGCTAGGGCCTTCCAGAAAATGGCGGAAGAAAATCTTTACTGGTTAGTAGGCCTATATTAAATTTTACTGTCATTTGCCTTTGTTACATCGTTGGATATTGTCACTGGAACAATTGTTGTCCTTAGTAACAACATTGGTATTGTAGCTCTCTACCAAGAGAACAAAAACAGGGCTTTTTTTATTACGTTACATTAAAGGTATTGTCAGGGGCGTAAGTGTTGGGGGGGGGGGATATCGGCGACTAAATGAATTAATGAGGTAAACAAATCCCAAATACTTATAGTTACATTATGAGAGATTAGATTAACTAGATAAAGAGTTGGCAGTTCTCACGAGATTTTAGCGATTGAATTTTCGGCCTAGCCTCGATCATCATTACTAAAGTCGGTACGATAAAAAAACATAGTCTCGATTATCCATTTCATGATTAAATCAAGAATGAAAGTAGAGCAGCAAATGGTATCCTAATCCAGTAAACATTAACATCGCAGACTAGCGTTGACATCAAGAGTTGATTATGGTCTGGATAAGTTAATAAATGTCTAATTAACAATTTAGATAACATTTCAGGCCTAAAGAAAGGCCTACAGTAGGCAGATTTAGCTCTTGCATAATGTATGTAATATGTATCTGTATATATACGGGGGGTTGGATGGCTGAATGGTTAGCGTGCGCGCGCTGTATTATAAAGTCTGTCATTGAGTCGACTGGCGTGGTTTCGAATCCCCGGTTGTACGTGGCAAGGAGTAGGGTCGCCTGTCCAACCTCGTGGGTTTTCTTCGGGGCCTCCGGTTTCCTCCCACTGCTAAAGACCCCTACGCGCAAGCGAATTATGTAAATAAAATTAAACCATATTATGTTAGTCCCGAAATGACCTAGTTTGTGTCGAGTGGACGTTAAACCCTATTTCTCTCTCTCTCTCCCCCTAAAGAAAGGCCTACAGTAGGCAGATTTAGCTATTGCATAATGTATGTAATATGGTATTTGTATATATACGTTTCATTGCTTTGATTGGATATCACAATGTGTGCGTGTCAGTGTGTACGTGGAGAGTAGCGCAGATGTGACAAGTCAGTAAAGACAATTAGCTCCGCTTTAGACCAGACAGGAAGCTAATTGGCCGACATTTTAATTCCTAAATCGATATAAGAATAGGCCGTAGAGCCACTGTCCAGGTAGAATTTCCGTCATAGAACACTGTATGGCGTATGCCCATCTAACGTCACAGTAGGACGTTAAACACCATTTCATTTCATTGATACGGATCCGAGTTGACACACCTCAGACGAAACATTTTATATTTACCTCCCAGGTGTGTAATTTTACACAGATGGGTTTACGATAACAGAGAATGGATAAAGAACCAAGAGGGCATGTCCAAGGTTGGGGCCTGGTCATCGGGCAAACTGGTGAAAAAACAAGCAGAGGCGCACGGTATCGGTCGCCATAGTTACGAAGAAATGGTAGGAATTGAAGAAGGTGATTTGAGAGCCATGTCGGAATTCTTAGGTGAGTATAATTAATAAAGAGAGAAACACGTGGAGACAAACTAGGTCATTTCGAGATAACATATCACGATCCGTATTGCGATTCAGGTACTAAGATACAATTCGTACCACGATTCATAATCAGGTCAATATTTACCAAGAAAACAACGGGATAAATGAATAATTTCTAGTCCTGTCGATGTCGAAGAAATAAAACTGTTTTATATCGCGATAATGATGTGGATCAAAATAAGGACAAAACAATTTAAGAGTGTATGTGTACCTATATAGATAATGTGTGACGTGGATAATTAGGAGTGACAGGTAATGGTTTCCACTATCGTGCGATACATTACGATAGGATTGTCCTATTGAGTCCACGATCCGGTACGTGCAGATACGTTCGGATACGTTTCAATACGATCAACACGATTACTGATATGGATAGGATAGTCACGATTACTCAGCGATTAAAACAACGATTCCAATCGTACCGTGAATTGTGATAGTGAGAACCTATCATTATTTACTGAAACGAAAAAAACAAAACAAAAAATAATCGCAATACATTGATGCGGAGTCTCGCGATTCAATACGCGAATCGTGAGAAGCTGGATCGCGATACATCGATTCAACGTAAACATAAGGTAATCGCCATAATGTTGAATCTTTTTTTGATGCGTTGGACCACGCAGTTTGCCACCTTTAATACATTTAAAGATACATTATGGGAGATTGGATAAAGAGCTGGCAGTTCTCACTATAATAGTTAAAAACTTGATAATGTAAACGGAATTTACTGAAAATTTCAGTCAAATTGATCCACTCTGAACCGGGACCTAGCCTCGATCAACATTATAAACTCGCTACAATACTTAACATAGTCTCGATCATCCAGTTTTTGATTTAATCATGAATGAGCGTTGAGCAGCAGATCGGATTCTAACCCAGTAAATATCGCAGACAAGCGATGACATCGAGAGTTGATTGTGGTCTGGATAAGTTAATTAATGTCTACTTAATAATTTTAAATAACATTTCAGACCTAAAGAAAGACCTGCAATAGACAGATTTAGCTCTTGCATAATGTATGTTTAATCAGCTGTAGGACGTTTTAGGGAAAGCCCCCAAATCAAAGCGACAAATTGTCATGTTGTGTTTCAACAAACTGGATAGACTACGACTTCCAGCTTTTGTATTCAGGGGATATTTGATTGGATAATAAAAATAGACACACTACGTTAAAAAACCAAAGTTTCCACCCTCAGTACAGCAATGGCTGGAGAGGGATTTCTCGGGTCATCACTTCAGGAATATGATTGTACCTGTAGCCGTACGCATGTTTGATGTTTTTGGTCTTATGTGTTTCAGGTACAAAGTCATTTTTCTTTGGCCATAAACCATGCGAGACAGATTGTGCTTTATTTGGACAGTTAAGTCAGCTGAGATGGCAGTTACCTAATACCAAGGGCGAATATTTTGTGAATGGTATGTATTATCTTTTGGTGTTTTAAGTGAGGTTTCTTAGTCGCCATGTTGTTATGTTGGTAAAGCTAAAGGTGTTATAGTACAAAGGCCGCGTGCTGTGCATTGAGAGAGAGAGAGAGAGAGAGAGAGAGAGAGATCGGGTTTAACGTCCACTCGACAGGTCCATTTCGGGACTAACACATGGTTCCATTTTATTTCAATCATTCGCTTCCGCGTGGGGCTCTTTAAAAGCAGTGGGAGGAAACCGGAGGACCCGGAGAAAACCCACGAGGTTGGACAGGCGACTCTATACTTCTTGTCACCATAGGCTGTCATTATGTAAATCCTACATACGAAAGTTACGCTGTTTATCTACAATTAGCTCCGCTTGAGAACAGACACGAAGCTAGTTGACCGACATTTTTATTCCTATAATTCGACGATTTGGTCGAAAAATACGTTGCCAATGTTTAGAACCCACTTTTATTTTATGAAACTGAAGTGGTTTAGTGGGAGATGCTAATTTTACAAAAGCCAGCTGGTTGTGCAAATGTGTAGAATATCTCCTTATAATTATAATTATGGAACCACTTTGACAGGGGTGGTTGGATGGCAGAATGGTTAGTAGGTCTGTCACTGAGTTAACTGGCGTGGGGTCTCCTGTCCAACCTCGTGGGTTTTTACCCCCCCCCCCCCCCACTGCTAAAAAACACTACGCGCAAGCGAATTATTGAAATAAAATTGAACCATGCGTTGGTCCCGAAATTACCTAGTTTGTGTCGAGTGGATATTAAACTACATTTCTCTCTCTCACCTTTTTGACAGATTATCCCTGTCGCGCGATCGCCTGATATATGTTTGGTCATGAGCGAGAGAGAGAGTTGAACGTGCACTCGACAAAAACTAGGTAATTTCGGGACTAAAATGATTCAATTTTATTTCAATAATTCGGCTTACGCGTGGGGTTCTTTAACAGTGGGGGGAAACCGGAGGACCCGGAGAAAACCCACGAGGTTGTAACGTATGACCGGGAAATCGAAACCAATCCAGTTGGCTCAATGACAGACCTTATGATACAACGCGCACACGCTAACGATTTCGACCATCCAACGCCGCTATAGTAGGACTGTAGCACTATGGCCCTTGAGACAATTTTGGCTCTTTATAAAATTGTCTCTTCAATTTGGTCTATAAAGTCAAATCATAAGTACTAAATGAACGTGGTTATAGTTGTTCGTAAAAAACAGTGATGTTTTAATTAAATTATAATCATTGTCAAAATAGTCATCAAATTCTAGCTGTTTATTGACCTATGGTCGGTTGACCAAAAATAGGTAATGTTGCCTGTCTTGTTTGTGGGAAATATAGAGTTTTATTCCTTATATGGCGTGGAAATTCACGTCAAGGTTATTGAAGAACTGGGAAAGTAGGGGGTATAAATTAGGGTGTAGAGGAGAGCTAGATTAGAGCTCACCCAGAAATTCTTACCAGTCATTACCATTGAGAACGAGGAACCTGAAAGCCAGTACAACTTAGTAATAAAGTTGGGAAATCAGTATTACTGTAGTGTTATTTACGATCACAACCACAACCAATAAAGAAGTCCGGTAGTACCACAGGACGTTTAACCCCATTTCATTTCATTTTGTTCTTTTTTTCTTTCCAGAAAAGTACACCAATCTTCGAGATTATTGTGATCGCATGAAGGCGACATTTTGGCCTGATTGGAATAATTGCATTACACACGTGGGAAAATCAAAAAACCAAAATCATAACTAATTATGGCGCAATTAAAATCATGTTTGATGGGGTCAATGTATATTGTGTACTAATATGGTCTTTTTGTAATTTTGTGAATACAGTTTTGTCAAAAGAATTATTTTGTGAGTTCATTTAACCCTCAGCAAATAAGTTATATATTTATAGCACGGCTTTCATGAGTTAACAGGTTTAACCAGAGGCCGAAGGCCGAGGGGTTAACGAATGAAGCTTGCTATAAATGACTTGTAACATTGACAACTGCTCAACATGCTTATTGTTATTGCACATAAAACCCACCCACTTCTCTATATGATTTCTACTAAAACTAGTGTAAACCAGCAAAAGTGTGCATTAGTTATTACACGGTTAAGCTCCACCCAATCTACTAGAGGGAAAACAATCTGCTCATTCAACGAAAAGAACAAAGGAAGATTTCCTATCCATGTTACAAAATACGTTGGAAATTGACATCTCTTGTTATATTTCAGGGTTATTTTGGGAGATGATATAAATACAATGAAATCAAATGGGGTTTAATGAACCTCCTACTTTTATGCAAAGGCTGAGCTAATGAAGACGGGCTTACGCCATACGCGTGTGTTATGCCCAAAGACCGGCGCTATATATAGGCCTACTGCCTACTCTTAGGCCTATATCGAATTCCAACTACCAAGGGATCTTTTACGTGCACGCCGATGTGTACACGGGACCTCGGTTTTTCGTCTCATCCGAAAGACTAGACTTTAACTGTCTTTGACAGGTTCTCCGCCCTGCACCACTGACAAGGGGAGACCAAGCCGCAAACCAGATGAACTTTCTTGGCGAACACCGGGAGCGAACTCGCGACCTAGGCTCCTGGCTAGCGAGTCAGCGTCTTACTCACTGAGCCATGGTGGCTCCTAGACCAAAGCAGTCAAATAGCCTTTTAATAAAGGGCTTATTTTTTACCTCAATTTATCATTGATCAACAAACTTAGTCTCTTCGAAAAGTTGGAAAGACGTGATTTAAGTTATTAAATTTTACGATTGACAAAAGCAGCTAAAAAAGCCAAGGTTTTAACAAAAACAATTCTACCCATATTTCTCATCGATCAACCAAATTAGTCTCTTCCAAATGATGCATGATTCAATTCGGTTCAGGTTTACGTGTATTACTATTAGCGCGAGTGTCAAGTCTTCCGCCCACAACCGGTGACAAGTTTACAGGTTTCATCAAGGTCAAGGTCAAATAGAAAACAACCCGCGTGTAACACACAGATAAACAAACACGGTTGCTAAAATGAAGTATTCTTTGGAAGGAGTCAAAGAATTGATTCATTCTCATGATCCAAATAACTATTTAGCAATTGCTGGGGGAGTCCTAGCTGCTTCAGCCCTAACTTATGGCCTGTATAAGAAAATTTTTGGAAAAAGGTAAGTATTTAGCACTTTTATACCCTGGCCTTAAATTTATGTTAAGGGGAAATAACTCAATATTATGCAGACGACACATATAGGATGCAGAGCACCATTAATTTCCCCATTGACTTCAATGTAAATTCTGGCCTCTTTGCCCACCCCCAACTTTTCCCCAAATTTTTGTTGGGCTTTTCACTACAGACAGAGGAACAAATGATCATGTCTTTGCAATAAAATTTGTATGAGGTTGACCACCAAAATTTTGAGACTATAAACATGTAACTAGTTGCCGTGTCGTCCATGTCACCGTAGCCAACCTGATGATAACCCCATTATCCTTCTGCCTCAAAATCATGAATATTTACCAAAACCTGGCAGAAAATATTAATTCAAACCCTCTTCGTCCATTCTAGACCAAAAAATCAACAAAAAAATCGGCATGCAAAAGGGGAGAAAAGAGACAGAGAGAGAATTGCTATAAATAGACGACCTACAATTTGTGGGTACCGAGATAGTGAAATTTAATAGTGGTCTGCCTCCACAAGATTCTGTCAAACACAGGAATTATTATGTTTTTCGTTGACATGAATGAATCATTTTCAAATGAATATATAAAAAATTCATCAGATTTATAGATATTTAGATGGTGTCGACCTGCGTGCTATCACCGTTGAATTTAATAGGCCCTACTTAGATTGAATTCGATATAGTAATTGCCCCAAGCATGTAGACCAATACTGCAGATAGTAGTAGTAGGGTAACAATCACGGACAGATTTTAAGCTTGTAGCCAGCCACTAACAGAAAGTTCCACTGGGGCTCTTATAATTACTTCAACGGTGAAATGGGAGCATATGAATACCGTTGCCTACAGGTATACCGGTAACGACTCAAGAATATTTGAATACCGGTAAGGCGGAAATGATTCGAGAATATTTGAATACCGGTAATGACTGAAGAACATTTGAATACCGGTAATGACACGAGAATATTTGAATACCGGTAATGACTCGAGAATACCGGTAACGACTCGAGAATACCGGTAATGACTCGAGAATGTTTGAATACAGGTAATGACTTGAATATTTGAATACCGGTAATGACTCGAGAATATTTAAATACCGGTAATGACTCGAGAATATTTGAATACTGGTAATGACTCAAGAATATTTAAAAACCGGTAATGACTCAAGAATATTTAAAAACCGGTAATGACTTGAATATGACTCGAGATATGTGGATAATAATTAAAAAATATTTGAATACCAGTACCAGTAATGACTAAAGAATATTTGAATAGCCTATCGGTACTGGTAATGACACGAGAATATTTGAATAATAGTGCAAAAATATATGAATACCTGTACCGTCAATGACTACAGAGTATTGGAACAAGTAAAAACAGTAAATTAGTTTCAGAAACGAATTTTATTTTGTGTTTCAGAAGAAAAAAAGTTATCCCTAAGGATGTTGTGATTGTTCATGGTTGTAGGAGAGGACCCTACTGTCCAAGTCTATCTCCCTTCTGTCTTAAAGTTGAAACTTACTTGAGGATGAACAGAATACCATATCAGGTAATTTCCGAGAGAAATGGGTTTTATTGTTCGTTCGACACAAACTACTAGTAGGTAATTTCAGGTGTAACACATGGTTCAATAATTCGCTTGCGTGTAGGGGGTCTTCAACAGTGGGAGGACAAGGAGAAATCCCACAAGGTTGGACAAACGACCGTACTCCTTGTCACGTATAAGAGAGGAGTTGAAACCACGCTGCTTGACTCAATGACAGTACACAATTATTGGTTTGGATGAGCCGAAAAATCAAAGTCCAGTGTACACATTGGCGTGCACATAAAAGAACCCTTGACAGTTGGAATTCTATATAAGAATTGCCTCATAGCAAACTGTTTTCATTAGCCCAGTTGGAGGAGTAGGGAGAGAGATGAAGAGAAATGGGGTTTAACGTCCACTCAACACAAACTGGGTCATTTCGGAACTAACATATGGTTAAATTTTATTTCAATAATTCGCTTGTGTGTAGGGATCTTTAGACGTGAGAAGAAACCGGAGGACCTGGAGAAAACCCCAAGTTTAACAGGTGACCCATCTCCTTGTCACGTACAACTCAGGAATCAAAACCATGTGAGTTGACTAAATGACAGTCCTTATGATACAATGCGCATGCGCTAACCATTCGGCCATTTCCCCGCCCCCACAGAAAAGTAGGACCTTAAACCCCATTTCATTTCATTATGGTCAGATTGGTTGTTTTAATTTCAGAGTGATAAAGATATTGAGTTGTCATCTAAAGGCAAGATACCATGGATTGAATATAATGAGGATGTTGTCAACGATTCTTCTTTCATCATCGAATATTTTAACAAGAAGTTAGACATCGATGTTGACAGATATTTAACAGACAAAGAAAAAGCTATATCCAGAGCCTTTCAAAAATTAATAGAAGAAAACCTTTTATGGTAAGGTCGGTCCTCTTAAGTATAAAATTTGCTTACTATGAGAAGTGTTACTGGGTGGTTTATCTTGCGCACAACAATGTCAACATCCATCATTATTATAAAACTCATTGAGGGGGTTGGGTGGCCAAATGGTAAACATGTGCACGTTGTATCAGACGATCTGTCATTGAGTCAAGTGGCGTGATTTCGATTCCCAGCTTGTACGTGACAAGGAGTAGGCTTGCCTGTCCAACCTCGTGGGTTTTCTCCCAGTCCTCCAGTTTCCTCCCACTGCTAAAGACCCCTACGCACAATAGAATTATTGAAATAAAATTGAACCATATGTTAGTCCTAAAATGACCTAGATTGTGTTGAGAGGACGTTAAACTACATTTCTCTCTCTCTCACATTATCATATGCGCTGTGACCCATTTGTGTCAATTTCTAGGTTCCAAATATTAGTGATTTAGCGCCTTTTAAGTCAAAATCAATTCAAGCTTACAAGGGAGACATTCTATGAAAAAAATTAATATGCCCTCACCCCCCAGATTCAGGGGACCGTCCATTTTTCAGGCAATATATTTCCGTTTTTCGGGCACAAACATTAGAGAATGAGACACCACCACCCCCTTCCCCACACTCGCTCACACCGAACTGAGATGGCCCCCTATAATGCCTATGACAGATTTTAACTTCATAGATTGGTGTGCACGTAAAAGGTCCCTTGATAGCTGCAATTCGATATTATAATAGGCTGTAGCACCAATATCCGGGCAAAATTTCCCCCATAGCACACTTACATGACGTATGCCGGACTTCATTATCCTAATCATAGCAGAACAGTAGGACGTTACACCCCATTTCATTTCACCTACATGTATTTGTACTTATCCAGGTGTTTTGCGCTGTGTAGATGGGGTTATGGTTATACAGATAACCGTTGGATGGGTTTCGGATGGCAGATATATATAGCTAAACTTATTAGTCGAAAGGTTGTCAAGCAATCCTGGGCAGCTGGTATGGGTAGACACACCCAATCAGAAGTTTTACAGATTTTTGACGATGACATGAAAGCCTTGTCTGATTTTCTAAGTGAGTATTGATCACTATATATTTATATTTTTCAAATCATTTTGTATCAAGTCATTTAGTTTATCTAAACATGCATTATGCAAGAGCTAAATCTGTCTATTGCATGTCTTTATTTAAGCTTCAGATGTTATAGAAATTATTAATTAGACGTTTATTTACACGACAAGCTCAAAATCAACTTTGTAAACACACGGATGACTTGGATACAGTTTGGATTTAAACAGTCGTCCATTCAAAATTAAATCAACAAATGTCACTATCGGAAACTGGCGATGAAAGGCCTGCGAAGCGAGGCTACCATTGCCATTGAGCATGTTACTGGATAATCAAAAATATGTGGCCGGAGTTATCGTCTGTCAATCAAACGATCATCAATTCTCATAGATGGTGCAGACACCATTGATGCCTATTTCTAGTCCAAACTTCCAACAGTGACAATTCCGTTCCGAACAAAGTGATTTACTGAAATTTTCAACAGCAGCACTATCACTACCCTTATATCCAACTGTCAATGGATATTTTATGTGCACGCCAATGTGCACATGGGATCTCATTTTTGGCCTCTCCAAAGGACTATAAATTGTCCCTTGCCAGACACTCGACAAGGACAGCTGTCTAGTCGTTCGGATGGAACGGAAAACCGAGGCCCTGTGTGCACATTGGCATGTACGTAAAAGATCCCTTGACAGTTGGAATTCGATATAAGAGTAGGTCGTAGTCCGGGCAAAATTTCCCTCATAGCACACTGTATGGCGTACGCCTGTCTTCATTACCCCAGTTCGGAGCAGAACAGCAGCACGTTAAACCTCATTTCATTTCATTTCCCTTGCCAGGCCCCTCATCCTGTTAGCAAGCCATGGCTTGCTCAATGATCCATCGTAACTGACTGTGTTGTCTATAACAACTATGAACTAATGATTCAGACTAAACAAGAAACTGAACATAGGGTCAATAGCAGATCGTATGACCCCCTGACACGACCCCCCACCCGGTCAGATCTTCTTGTAGTGGAGGCCATCAAAAGTACAATCTGATAAAAATATAGATCTATATTTCGTTTCATTTTTTTTTATAACTTTGATGGCCAACACTTCATGAAGATCTGACCAGTTATAGTAAAAGGTTGCATCAGAGGTTGTACGAATGACTTTTGACCATATGACGTTAGACATTGATTAATCAATCAGCATTGACGTTTCTAGTGGTTTACCCACAGTCCTGTGCATCACACACCAAGAAATCGCCATAACAGATGGTTTCATTGGCTAATCCCTCACACTATCCAGAATGCAGGTTATATAACAACTCATATCCTAGTGTAGTAAAGAAAAGTAAAACAAAATTTTGAACTTTAATAAAACGAAACGAAATCGGATCTGTGATTTAATCAGATTGTCGAAAGTATAAAAAAAATGTAATGAAATATAGATCCGTATTATAAGAGACTAAAATCTATTTCTAGGTAGTAAAGATTTTATGATGGGAAGTGAACCTACAGAAATAGATTGTACAGCATTTGGTATGTTAGCACAATTTTTTTGGGGCAGTCCACAACAACCGTGTGAAACTTGGATAAAAGGTAAATATAGTTTATATATCTTGAAATATTAAATGGGTATTGGATGGCCGAATGGTTAGCATGTGAGAGCTGTCATTGAGTCAACTGGCTTGGTTTTGAATCCTGTGTTTCGAATCTCTGGTAGTACGTGACAAGGAGTAGGGTCGTCTGTCCAACATCGTGGGTTTTCTCCGGGTCCTCCGGTTTCCTTCCACTGCTAAAGACCCCTACACGCAAGCGAATTACTGAAATAAAATGCAACCATGTGTTAGTCCCGAAATAACCTAGTTTGTGCCAAGTGGACTTAAACCACATCAGTTATGAGTGTTGCAGGGCTGTAACTAGCTCAGAGCAACGGGGCTGGGGGGGGGGGGGCAGGGCAGGAAATGTTCTCAGGAGTGCTGTAAAATTGACGGACAATGTAATTTGGGATCCCACTGATTAGTTTGTAATTCGGGAGCCCACTGATAAGTTTGTAATTTTGGAGCCCACTGATTAGTTTGTAATTTGGGAGCCCACTAATTAGTTTGTAATTTGAAAGCCCACTGATTAGTTTGTAATTCAGAAGCCCACTGATAAGTTTGTAATTCAGGAGCCCACTGATTAGTTTGTAATTCGGAGCCCACTGATTAGATTGTGACAGGTAAATCCGACCTTCACAGGTATCATTCCTAATTTTCTGTTTGCACTCATATTACCTTGATACAAAAATAAAACAATTCACATCAGTTATTTATTTCTTTTTAGAAAAATATCCCAATTTACGGGAGTACTGTCTTCGGATGAAAAATTTATTTTGGGAAGATTGGGATGAATGTATTACACATGGTGGTACAAGGGAGGCTACTCGTTAATGAATATTGGATACAGACCACAATAATGTAGTTATGTTATAGATTGTTCTTCAGGAACTTCAGGAACAAAAATGTAAAGTGGTAGTATGTTAAATTTAGGTCTGTCAATACTATTTCGGCTGCAGCAAGAAAACGTTTGGTTCATATATTCAAAGATTCTTATTGGATTTTCGACTAGTGTGTTCTGAGTCCTGATGTGCACTATCAATGAAAGTGTGCCTAGTCATTCCGGGGGGGCACACGGTGGCTAAGTGAGTAAGACGCTGGCTCGCTAGCTCGAGGTCACAGGTTCGATCCCTGCATTGGCCGAGAAAGCTCATCCAGATTTTCCGACCTGGTTTTCTCTTGTCAGTGATGCAGAACGCAGGGCCTGACAAGGACAGCTGTCTAGTTGTTTGAATGGTACAAAAAACTGAGGTCCTGTGTACACATTGATGTGCATGTAAAAGATCCCTTGACAGTTGGAATATGATATAAGAGTAGGCCATTGTATGGTGTATGCCTGTCTTCATTTCATTTCAGTCATTCAGATCAGATGAAAATCAGACTTGATAAATGAAATGAATTGAAATTGGGTTTAACGTCCTACTGTTGTGCACTGACTACGCTAATGAAAACAAACATCATGTAGTGTGCTATGAGGGACATTTTGCCCAGGCATCAGGGCTACAGTCTATTCGTAAATCGAATTCCAACTGTCAAGGGTTCTTTAGCATGCAGGCTAACGTGCATGAGTACAAACACATTATCCTTTGACAACATAAAAACCTCCCACCTGCATCAGTATGGCCTTAATTGTGCATAATAGATTTTATCCGAGAATTTAGTGACAGTCTCCATGTTAGGATAGTAATTAGATTAAATAGTTTATTCAAACAATGCTCGTAAGATTTATCATGGACCTTAGAATACATGATAAATTATAGGGTCCTTGGATTTAACACGGAATTATACACTTTAGATTAAATAGTTTATTCAAATAAGATTTATCCGAGAATTTATTGACAGTCTCCATTTTATGATAGTAATATTTATACACTTTAGATTAAATAGTATAACCAAATAATGTTCGTAAGGTTTATCCAAGAATTTATTGACAGTCTCCATTTCAGGATAGTAATATACTTTAGTTTAGATAATATAACCAAATAATGTTATTAAGATTTATCCGAGAGTTTGTAGTAGAAATAAATTTATTCTTTTTAATGGGTATTAATTTGTAGTATTTATAGATTAAGTGATACATAAAAGTTGCTCATGAACATGGAATGGATTTTATTTTGACAGAATTTATGTATGATGTTTTTTTTTGTTGTTGAATGGTCAGATAGAAAGATACTAACACAGGTTATCATTATAAAATTTCAAATTCTAACATTTTCATTGCTCAAGGACATCTACACTGTTTCGATTGTTTATTTACCTGTTTGAATAATATTTACCTTTCTACTTTATTAATATAACCCTTATAAATTAGTTTTCGTCATTTTCTTTTCATCTTTTGTATTTTATAAGGACAATTTTGCTGAATTTTAGTTTCAGAAAACATTTTATAGAAATGGACATTTATTATTATTATTATTATTGCCAACCAATCAATAGGTATCCATAACCACTGCTTAGAAAGTGGAATATATATATATATACAGTGCCTTGTTTGGGAATTAGCTTTTTTTAAATGTCATCTTATTGATGTTAAAGGCCCGTTCTCACGGTGCGACTTGTAGTAACTACTTGTAGTATCTACATGTAGATTACAAAATCGTATATAAATGAGTTGATACGACTTGGAATCTCGCGATAATCTCGTCTTGTCTTAGCATAATGGCGTCATCAAGCGACGAAGAGATCCTGGCTATTATTGCCCTACATTTGATAAATAAGAACAAAAAGAAAAAGAGAAAACCTAAATCCGTCTGGGTTAGACAGTGGATACTGCGTAGACCCACTGCCGGCGCGTACAGTTCCCTATTGCGTGAACTTGATGGGTGCGCTTCGCGTCCATGTTTACCAACAACAAAGGGAGAGAACTCGTGTTTGTACTAATACTCGACATCTCTGATTGGTCAATTTCATATGATCTGTTGACTGAAATAGGGAAGTTTCTATTTCGCTCAAATCGCTTTCAACTGGTTGGGAGCTTGTAAAAGTTGGTACGACTAGGGTGTTCTCGCGCTGCATCTCGGGTCGATACTACCAGTAGTTACTACAAGTCGCACCGTGAGAATGGGCCTTAACCAAACTACAAATTTCCTTCACAAAATTGTAATAAAGTCACTGATACACAATTTACTCAAATCATCCATAATTTCAACTCATTTTTTATGCCAGATTATCATTTTTAATTGAAAATCTTGGTGTTTATGTTTAAAAAATACCATATAAATAACGATTTCCAAGCAAGTGATTTCGTGTAATTGAATAGTTATGTCCCTTGGTTACAAATTCCAAACTAGCTTTGAAATCGCATTTTGAGTTGCATTTTGACACATAAATGTTATGGTTTTAAATTAAAATTGACATAACGAATTGTATATTATCAAATATCGATATAAATTATTGTCATATATATGTGCAATCTCTCAAACAGAGTTGTCTTCCCTTGCAGTCCAAACTATGTGACTAATGCTGGATAATGAGACTTGTGGTGGATTTGGATCGATCGTGATACCCAAAAATCACCATGCTTTGTAGATTATTATTCAAACATTTGAATACTGATTTAACAGAAATATAATTGTAAACATATGGATTTAACAGAAATATATTTGTAAACATATGGAAACAGGTTATTCACAAATATTTATACTAATGATGTGACTGTCATTTGTTTGTCTGTCTGTTCGTTCAGTGTTGTCGGCTACTAGGGCTGTTCCAAGGCTGACATTTAGTGTATATTGGTAGCTCGGACCGGGTAGTAACATAGACTAGGTGGCAGTGGCCTACCGCTTCCAGTTTCAGAGTTATGGACACAATTATTTCATGGATTAAAGATTTGATGCGTCATTTTGCGCTAAATGAATCTCATGCAAATTATAATATTGTGAAAGTTGAATCTCTAAATAAGAATAAATCCAAAAATAGTTCAATTCCATTCAGTTTTGACAAAGTTATGATCGATTGAAATTTCACTGATTTATGCTGCTTGAGCATAACAATTAAAGGTGCCGCCATATTATATTGGTACGGAAAAACCTGGCCCCAAGTTCACAAAGCATTCTCAGACTTAAATACATTAATAAAAAAATATGTGCAAAGTTTTGTTTTTCTGGATCAAAGATATTTATCATAAACAGTGATTGAAAGTTGAGTACATTCTTAAGTCTGAGAATACTTTGTGAACTCGGGGCCTTAAATCCAATTAAGGGAGATTACCTAGCATTGATAGTTTGATTTTGTTTTCTTAGTTAAATGTTAAATAATTAATATAAGTACATATTAATCGTGGATAAAGCTAGGAGAAATTGGACATTTTAGTGAAAATTTAATTGATGCATCAAGCCTTCAATAATATCTTATGATATAATTTTTATACATTTTGTTTATTTCTGTGAAAGATAATGTAACATTTAAATGGTATGTGACCTTTTGAATTATGTTTTGAAATCTACGCCTTTATATAATATATAATATATATAATGATATATAGGATCTTTCTATTGTTTTTTGTTATATGAAATTCTTTTAAATAAATATATTTTTTTCTTCTTTTATTTGTTTTCCTATCAATCTGATTATAATACAGATCTATATTTCATTTCATTTTTTTATACTTTCGATGGCCTACACTACATGAAGATCTGACAAGTTGTACTTGAAGGTTGTGTCAGGGGTCGTACGAGTGGCTTTTGACCTTATGATGTCAGACATTGATTAATCAATCAGCATTAACGTTTCTAGTGGTTTACCCACAGTTCCGTGCATGGCACACCAAGAAGTCGCCATAACAGACCGTTTCATTGGCTAATCCTTCACTTCAACTAAGACGCCGGTAATTTGACAACTCATCCAGATCCTAGTGTAGTAAAGACAAGTAAAACGAAGTTTTGAACTATGAAAAACGAAACAAAATGGGATCTTTTTTCCAATATATAGAATTGTAAAAAACATCAGCATATCCTATCATATAGACTGAAACTACTCTTTCAGGGGTTTGGATATCTTACTGTGCATTGGATCCACGGTGGCTCATTGGTAGGATGTTTGCTCGCTAACCTGGAGTTCCCGTCATAGGCGTATGGGGAAATTTTTGAATGGGGGGAGCGGTGGTGGTTGGTGCCCAAAAAATGTAGTTAGGTTCTTAGTATGTTACATAATAATAATAAATTCGCTGTTAAATTGGACACATTCAAGAAGACAATATTTTTTTTATACAACTTTACAAAGTACAATTGTGTGCCCAAATTTTCCCAGCATTTGGTGCCCCCCCCCCCCCCAGCCCCCCCCCCAGCTCGTACGCCTATGGTTCCCGTGTTCGATTCTTGCGTTTGCCGATAAAGTTGTCAGTGGTGTAGGGCGTTTGGTCTGGCAAGGGACAATGTGTAGTCGTTCGGATGGGATGAAAAACTGAGGTCATGTGTACACATTGGCGTGCATGTAAAAGAGTTCGAAATAAGAGTAGGCCATAGTGCCGCTGTCCGGACAAAATTTCCCTCATAGCTCACTGCATCGCATATGCCCCTCTTTATTAGCCCAGTAGTGGTTGGGGGCAGCTGATATTTTTATCGGATATCCTTATTAGATGTGGGGCTCTTAGTCTTTGTAGTTATAAAGAATAAAATCATTGGAATGTCAAAAACAATTTAGAGAGATTTACTAGTCTGAATCCAACACAAATTGTTATCTCCCTTAGACTGCGTTTGTAAAGAATGCATGATTTAGCCGCAACTGAAACTTTTATTTAGTGTAATTAAATCTCTTTACATTACAAGACGTATTTCGGTATCAGCATGGACCTTATAAGGTCCATGGTATCAGTAGCGCCCCCCCCCCCCCACCCAAAAAAAAATAGTCTAATAAATCTGCATGGGTTTCAGTACAGGAAACTTTATCCGGGATTCCCGATGAATTGTCTCGGCAAGCAGGGATC